CGCCCGGGTCAAGCCCCAGCCAGGCTCCTCCTCCCATCCCCAGCAGCACATGAGAAGTGGCCCCCTCTGGGCCTCGCGACTGGGCCCAGAGAGCCACAGCGCCCTGGGGGAGCAGACGCCACCTTGCTGTGGGGCCGGGCAGGGCAGCGGGGCTGCCCTGAAGCGGGCGGGTGATGAGGCAGGCATGGGCCGGCAGTGCCAGCGGCTGCTGCTTGCCCTCCTGCGCGGGGCCGCTCCCCCGGGACCCGCGGGGGTAAGCAGCTCCCCTCCCCTCCCTGCCAGCTGGGGCACCGCACCGCACCACCATTGCCGCGGCCCCGCGCACTGCAGCGGTGGCTCTGTACTCTGCAGCCCCGCCGCAGCCCTGCGCTGGCGGCGCTGCCGCGGGCCAGATAAAATGGATTGGCGGGCCACATGGTGGCCCACGGGCTGTATGTTGGACAAGCCTGATCTACTCCCTGCATGCCAGTTTCATGGCCAGGAGCTTGCGGGGAGTGGGTCACAGCTCTGTCCCAGGCCCCGGCCCTGCACTATCACCATCCAGAGATCCCCAGGACTCCATGGAGATTGACCCAGAACCTGTACAGGTAGGGTACATTTGGATGGGTGGAGGGGATGTGGCCATGGAAGGACAGGGAGCTGTGTCTGGGAGTGGGATGGGTGGGACCAGGGCCAGGATTGGGATTACAGGGCAGCATAAGCAGTGGAAGGTCAGGGCTAACAGGGCTTACCCCCTTCCAAGGCAGGACAGCAGGGCAGCCTAGGTATGGGCTCCAGGTGGCTGCAGCGGAGGAGGTAGTGGGGAGAACAGACTCAAGACACTCACAGCTGGGCATGTGTATTACTGCCCAGCATGGCAGGCAAGTCTCAGTCTGTGAAGGGGAAGGGACGCTTGCCGGGGGGGCGGCGCACACAGATCAAGACCCCCACAGTAAGGGACTGAGTGGGGCAGGGCCAGAATGAACAGGGCCCTGGGGCAGGTTGTGGGACTATTGGAGCCCGGGGCAGCTTGTTCAGGGATGCAGAGGGCTTCTGTCACTGCGTGCACCATGGGGGAGGTATGGCAGCACATGTGCCACCCGGATTTGTGCATGGGGCAGAGGCGGGCTGCCACTACAGGCTGGGCTCTGTGCCTCTCTGCCTTTGCTGTGGGAGCTGTGTGACCAATGCTCTGTGCCCTGCCAGACAGGCAAGGGATATGGCGCAGGCTGAGGGCGTCAGGCACATGGCATCACACAGCTCTGAGGCAGCAGGAAGAGGGCACAGAGGGCAGCCCGCCTCCACCTTGTGCTCAAATCCAGGGGGCATGTGCCCCTGTACCTCCCCTGGGGTGCATGCAGTGGCAGGAGCCTCCCCGCACCCATGGATGACCCGCTCCAACCCTGGGGCCCCATTCACCCCAGCCCCTGCCCCACTCTGTCCCTCACTATGGTGTGCTCAGCCCCCCCAAATATTTTCTCCCTCTACCTACACAGAGCCAGTGACAGTGCAGGGCTGGGGCCTGGGGCAGAGCTGCGTTCTGCTCCCCATGTGCTCCTGCTCATGGAACCACTACCTGTTGCAGGGACGTGGGCAGTGGATCATGGCTCTGCCCAGACCCTGGCCCCACCCCATGATTCCAATCCCAGCCCAAGCCCTGTCCACCCATTCTGCTCCCCAATGCCTCTCCCCACCCACATGCATCTCCATCCCATCTGCCCAGCTGAGCATGTCCTACTTGTGGGGGTCCTGGGCTGGTCTCCATAGAGACCCTGCCCATCCGCTCTGTCTGGCACTCCTGGCGGTGGGTACAGGGCAGATGGGCCAGGGTGCCTGAAAGCAGAAACTGGTAGCAGCACCTGGAAGGAGCTGCCACTGTGCAGACTACTGGGAAGCAAGTCCGGCTGCTGCACCACCCCAGTCCTGCTGTGCGCCAGGAGGCAGTGGGACTGGCTACATGTGCCATGGCCCAGGTTACCCAAGCCTGAGCCAAGCAGGGCTGAAAGACCTGCCACAGGCCTCCCCCCCTTCCAAGAACTTTAAAGAGTCTAGATATTTACATTAAGAGCCAAACTATGACAATGCAGCTGTAGCCAAACAGCTGTGAGACACATGACAATTCTGAGTTTAGTCATGGTGACTGCTGTATCAGCAAAACAGGTTACCATGCATGAAAACATTATGGTTACAGATATCTGAATGTACACCAGTCATGAGTTGATCACAAGTTGCGTACAACAAAGTGAAGATGGGGAAACATCTTAAGTAGGGGTGCACCAATAGAGATTTTGGGGTCCGATACTGGCAGCCAATTCTTAAGGAGGCATATCGACTGATACTGATCTGATTTCTGATACAGCTGCATGCAGCTGATAAGTCTGTTGTGGTGGAAGGGGAGAGGGGAGGGAAGGAGCATGTGGGGGGTGGTGGGGGACAGATCAACACCCCTCGCAGGGAGGGAGGGAGGGGGCAGGAACTGCCCAGCCAGGGTGGGGCAGGGCACGGAACTGAGACGCAGCTCATTGAGGAGGGAAGGGGAGGAGGGGCTCCCATCACTGCGCACACCCCAAAAGGGCATCGGGGGAGGGGGCACGTGCCCTGGGATCTGTGCGGGGCAGGTGGACTGCAGCTGTGGGCTGGAACCAGGCCTGCACCAGGCTCTTCTTGGGTTGGGCGCTGGAAGGGGGCTATGGAGGGGGCTGCAGCCACCCCAAGTTTCACCATAGCCTCCCCACAGCCCTCCTCCCAGCACTGGCACAGCCACAGCTCTTCCCAGCACATGGGTGGAGGCAGGGCATTGAGCTGGGGCTGGGCTTGGGGCAGGCGGCAGTGGCACTGGGAGGGTGCTATGGGGAGGTTTTGGCAAATTTGGGGTAGCTGCAGTCCCCTCCCAGCATCGCCGCCCACCCTGAACCCAGCCCCCTCCGAGAAGAGCAGCTGCAGTCCACCCAACCTGAACAGATCTAGGGGCATGTGTGTGTGTGTGTCTGTCCCCAGTGGTGCGCACAGTGGTGGGAGCCACCCCCCCGCATGAACTGTGGCTCCGTCCCATGCCCCGCTCCAGCTGGGCAGCACCTGCCTTAGCCCCTGCTTCCTCCCTCATTGTGGGGGTCCTTTATCTGCGCCCCCTCCTGCCCATTCCTTCCTCCCTCCCCTTCCATCACACCAGTCTTACCAGCTGTACGTAGCTCTCCAAGTTGTCAGGCTGTGCCCCCCACTGCCTGCGTGCTGCGCTGCAGCTGCTTGCAGGCACAGTTATTTATCGGCCACATCAGGCCTATTTCTGATGCAGCCAATTTTCTTTGTATCGGTACTGATCTGATAACGGACCAGTGTATCAATGTACCTCTAGTCCTAAGTGAAGTTGGACACAAAGGAAAAGGAAAAGTACTTCAGAAGCACAAACAGAAAACAGGCCTGTATATGTATGGAAAGAAAGTATGAAGACAAGACACCAGCTGGACTTGCTGCTTAGATGACAACTTGGTGTGTGTGTGTGTCTCTCTCTCAACCTCAGAGCCTGATCAATTCTCAGGACCTGCTCCAACATCAAGGCTACATAAGCATGATGTCTTTAGTACATTGTATTGCCTACTCATACATGCCAACTGAGTGTCCGTGCCTGTATTGTGATTCTCCTTCACCCGCTACCTACAAAATTTTAGGCAACAGCCACTAATTGTCTCAAAGCGGCACATACAGCAAGAAGGGAGGGAGTCGCATTCACAGGGCACAACAGCAGCATATAAACGTCTTACCATGTTTGCCACTGAGTGCCACATTCAGCAGTTCGCCGAGTGCATCTGGGGGTAATCCGCTCTGCAGGGCAACACTCTCCGCAGTAGCCAAGTGCTTCTGCAGCACCCGATTCCTTCTGAGTGGGACGTGGTCTTGAACTACAAAGACAGCAAATGCATAGGGATTAACACGCCCAAAGGGCCACCTGTCACCAGCCCAGCTTCCCTGGGGTCAGTTTCTCAAAGGTGCTGCTGGTGCCCAGCCCCTGTTAGCTGCTTTCCTGCCCCGGCCACACCTTTGCCACAGCGAGGGGGGGAGAAGGGACATATTTAAGTCACGGCTATAAACAACGCTGAGGGGCTGGCGGCAAAGAACAGTGCTGGGGGCCACGGCCCCGAGCTGCAACACAAGGAAGTGGGTTGGAGCAGAGGAGAGCGGCCGGGCGCTGGCACTGTGGAGCCCCCCGGCTCTCGCAGCCCGACGA